CAATGCTGGGGGGGCTTTTATTACATCCCATGACCCCAGTGCTGGGGGGGCTTTTATTACATCCAATGACTCCAATGCAGGCAGGGCTTTTATTTCATCCCATGACCCCAATGCTGGGAGGGCTTTTATTACATCCAATGACTCCAATGCTGGGGGGGCTTTTATTACATCCCATGACCCCAATGCTGGGAGGGCTTTTTATTTCATCCCATGACCCCAATGCTGGGGGGGCTTTTATTATATCTCATGACCCCAATGCTGGGGGGGGGGGCTTTTATTACATCTAATGACTCCAATGCTGGGAGGGCTTTTATTACATCTAATGACTCCAATGCTGGGGGGGGGCTTTTATTACATCCCATGACCCCAATGCTGGGGGGGGGCTTTTATTACATCCAATGACTCCAATGCTGGGGGGGCTTTTATTACATCCAATGACTCCAATGCTGGGAGGGCTTTTATTACATCCCATCCCATGCTGGGAGGGCTTTTATTACACCAACTGCTGGGAGGGCTTTTATTACATCCTATGACTGCAATGCTGGGGGGCAGAAGGGGGTATTTTATTACTCTCATCAACCCCAAATCCAGAGGAGGAGGGGGTCAGTTATTATTCCCAATGACCCCCAGGTGGAGGGTGATCTTTTACTACTCCCATTGACACCAGTTCTTGTGGGGGGCTTTTAATTTCACCCACTGACTCCAATGGCGGGGGAGGGGGGCTCTATTCTACCCACTGACACATTAGAAATGATTTCTACTCACCAATCAGTACCAGCAGGAATCCAGAGGACGGCCCCATGATTAACGAGACTTTCTCAGTTTCCTGAAACAAAGAGGAAGGGCGAGCCGTACAGATGAGACACAGGAAGATATACAATTCTATTTCCATAATACTCATGTGATGAACTTGGAATGAAGAGAGAGAGCGGGGAGGCTGGGCACCCAGGACCCCAGTTGCTGGAAGTTTATTGAGGGGTTTCAGCACACAATAGGAGGGACTGGGATGATGATGGTGGGAATAACAAGTGGAGGGCGAAGTCCAAACAATAGAAATCTTGGGGATCCGCCCAGAAATCTTTCACCCACAACAATTTCACTAATTGTAAACAATTTGCCTATCCATGCGTCCAATGGTTACATTTATCTGCTAATTCCCTCTAGTGTTCTCGAGAATTGTTACATTGTATCTCTTCTTACAAAGACTTATGTATTTCCTATGCTCCTCAGCTCCATCTAGTGGCCATAATGTGGTATTTTTATCACAGCCCACAATAAAAAGCACATTTGTAATTTCAGAAGAGAAAATAGCTTACGGAACATTCTTTTTTTGCCCAGTTCACAATGGCCAAATAGCGCCTTTTTTCTTTTTTTTTCATGTTTGTGCTTAGTAGATAATTCTAATATTGACACGATGTCTGGAGCAATACCAGCCCCCCAGTGTCCACATATCAACCAAGAATCAGTACAGAACTACAAGTCCCAGCAGTCTCAGTGCTCATAAAGCAGCACACAGCCAACACAGAACTATAAGTCTCAGCAGTCCTCAGTGCTCCTAAAGCAGCACACAGCCAACACTCCCACATGGAGGAAAAATATATTTTAGATATATTTTAAAAATATTCTTCCCAAATATATTGACATATATTTGAAATACTAACATTTTTGGCCGTATTCCTTATTTCATAAGATATTTTAATAAGAAATATATAAATACTGTATATATATATATATATATATATATATACACACATACAGTATACTGTATGTTGAAATGCATTTTTATTACAAGATATATGACAAAATATTTAAAAAAATAATTTTCAAATATAGCGTATGTCTTTAAAAAATAAATTTAATCTACATTTTTGGAATGCATTTACAAATATATGTCAAAATCTATGTCAAAATTAAATTTTATATGTTGAAAAATATAAATTTTTACAAATATTTTTTATACATTTTGTAATATATAAAAAAACTAATTTCAAAATGCAGTATATATATATATATATGTATTGAAATATATTTTGAAAAATATTGAATACGGTCAAAATTGTAGTATTTCAAATATATGTCAATATATTTTGGAAGAATATTTTTAAAATATATTTAATGTATATTTTTCTTCCATGTGGGCAGAACTACAAGTCCCAGCAGTCCTTAATGGCACACAACACAACAGTAAAAGAAGTGTAGCTTCCAGTGAGTACTCACACAGGGAGAGGTAGGGCAGCTCAGTCTCGGGGTTCACACACGTAGCTCCTTTTTGGTGATCACACTGAAAGGACACACTGCCTGCTTTATATAGACTGGAGGGGGGGGGGGGGGGGGCAGATAGGATGGAGGTTGGTATAGAATGTTGTTGCACAACTACATAGTTGACATGGTTGAATTGAAACAGCCGTCTATCCAGTTCAGTCTGAGCCTGTGTCTGTGTCTGTGTGTGTCTGTGTGTGTGTGTGTGTGTCTGTGTGTCTGTGTGCGTCTGTGTGCGTCTGTGTGTGTGTCTGTGTGCGTCTGTGTGTGAATCTGTGTGTGTCTGTGCGTCTGTGTGTGTCTGTGCGTCTGTGTGCGTCTGTGGCCTGTGTGTGTCTGTGCGTCTGTGTGTCTGTGGTGTCTGTGTGCCTGTGTGCGTCTGTGTGTGTCTGTGCGTCTGTTTGTGTCTCTGTGCGTCTATGTGTGTCTGTGCGCCTGTGTGCGTCTATGTGTGTCTGTGCGTCTGTTTGTGTCTGTGTGTGCGTCTGTGTGAGTCTGTGTGTGTCTATGTGCATCTCTGTGTCTGTGCGTCTGTGTGCGTCTATGTGTGTGTGCGTCTGTGCGTCTGTGTGTGTCTGTGCGAGTCTGTGTGTCTGTCTGTGCGTCTGTGTGTGTCTGTGTGCGTCTGTGTGCTTCTGTGTGTGTCTGTGCGTCTGTGCGTCGTGTGTGTGTGTCTGTGTGTGTGTGCGTCGTGTGTGTGTGTTCTGTGCATCTGTGTGCGTCTGGTGTGTGTGTGTGTCTTTGTCTGTGTGTCTGTGTGTGTCTGTGCGTGTCTGTGCTGTGTCTGTGCGCGTCTGTGTGCGTCTGTGTGCGTCTGTGTGCGTGTCTGTGCGCGTCTGTGTGCGTCTGTGTGCGTCTGTGTGTGTCTGTGCGTGTCTGTGCGTGTCTGTGTGCGTCTGTGTGTGTCTGTGTGCGTCTGTGTGCGTCTGTGTGTGTCTGTGTGTGTGTGCGTCTGTGTATGTCGCTCACAGCCATAGGAGATCATTTTATTTCACAAAATACAGCAAGGTTCGTTGGGCTGTGCAAATGTTTGCCACATTCGTACAGCAAAGTTTCTATACATAGACCCCCATAGTGACCCCCATAATGAAGCCGTTGCTCCACCTAGCAGGATAATTTTTTGTGCATGCGTCAAGCTATGTACAAAATAGAATCCTGCACTGGGCATGTTTGTTTTAGAGATGTTGTCATTTTTATTTTACGTTGTTTTTATTTTATTTGTATTTAATTTTCATGTACATTTTTTTATATCAGTCCTTCCGACCCTCAAGTGAGAACATATAGTCCATGAGTGCAGTAAAAGGAAATCAACCATTGAAGACACAGCAAGGTGTGAAGGTTTGGGCCATGCAGGAAAATCCACAGGTGTAACCGGTCTTATTTCTGGCATTTACACACGCACTGTATCCAAAAATAAAGAATTGTGTGGTATTTTAGGATCCATACATGTTTTAATCTCTTTGTTATCTTTAAATAAGTCATTAAAGTGTTACTAAACCCCGGACCCCGCATTCACTATATCCACTCTCCCCCGGACCCCTCATTCACTATATCCGCTCTCCCCGGACCCCGCATTCACTATATCCACTCTCCCCGGACCCCTCATTCACTATATCCGCTCTCCCCGGACCCCGCATTCACTATATCCGCTCTCCCCGGACCCCTCATTCACTATATCCGCTCTCCCCGGACCCCGCATTCACTATATCCGGTCTCCCTGGACCCCGCATTCCCTATATCCGCTCTCCCCGGACCCCGCATTCACTATATCCGCTCTCCCCGGACCCCTCATTCACTATATCCGCTCTCCCCGGACCCCGCATTCACTATATCCGCTCTCCTCCCCGGACCCCGCATTCACTATATCCGCTCTCCCCCGGACCCCGCATTCACTATATCCGCTCTCCCCGGACCCCACATTCACTATATCCACTCTCCCCAGACCCCGCATTCACTATATCCGCTCTCCCCGGACCCCGCATTCACTATATCCACTCTCCCCGGACCCTGCATTCACTATATCCGCTCTCTCCCCGGACCCCGCATTCACTATATCCGCTCTCCCCGGACCCCTCATTCACTATATCCGCTCTCCCCGGACCCTGCATTCACTATATCCGCTCTCCCCGGACCCCGCATTCACTATATCCGCTCTCCCCGGACCCCGCATTCACTATATCCGCTCTCCCCAGACAATTCTAAGGAAACCTTTGGGACAAATGTAAGATTTTAGGGTCATCTAAGAATGAAATTATGGTTAAAGGACACTCGGGGCATCTGGGGGGACAGTGTTTTTTCACTTTTTCATTATCATACTCCTTTGCTGAACACTACTGGTATACATAGATAACATACAGATAAAGGTGTGTTCAGTCATTCCCTCACTGTGTCCTACTTTCACCTATTACCCCATTCAAGGAGTTTATGAAAGGATTTGAGTATTCTTGGTTAAAGTTATATTTATATTTCTACCAAAGAGCTGATTCGTCTCCAGAGGTTGTAAGCAGTATTTTAATATACCGTACTTCAGGTCTTGTGATTTCTCCCTATGGTTTATTGTGGATCTAAGTGACCAGGACTTCTCACCCTTCGTACCCTCCATGTCTACAAATATTACTTTACATTATTATCATCTTTTGTTAGTAAAGCTCTAACATTTCAAGGAGAGTTACACATCAAATTCTGAAGGTGACTTTCTACCTCCTGCATACAAACCCCAAAGAGTCCTTAACCACTTCCAGACCGGACACTTTCCCCCCTTCCAGTCCGGACACTTTCCCCCTTCCAGTCCGGACACTTTCACCCCCTTCCAGTCCGGACACTTTCCCCCCCTTCCAGTCCGGACACTTTTCCCCCCCCCTTCCAGTCCGGACACTTTCACCCCCTTCCAGTCCGGACACTTTCACCCCCTTCCAGTCCGGACACTTTCCCCCCTTCCAGTCCGGGACACTTTCCCCCCCTTCCAGTCCGGACACTTTCCCCCCCTTCCAGTCCGGGACACTTTCCCCCCCTTCCAGTCCGGACACTTTCCCCCCCCTTCCAGTCCGGACACTTTCCCCCCCTTCCAGTCCGGACACTTTTTTCCCCCCCTTCCAGTCCGGACACTTTCACCCCCTTTCAGTCCGGACACTTTCACACCCCTTCCAGTCCGGACACTTTCACCCCCTTCCAGTCCGGACACTTTCACCCCCTTCCAGTCCGGACACTTTCACCCCCTTCCAGTCCGGACACTTTCACCCCCTTCCAGTCCGGACACTTTCCCCCCCTTCCAGTCCGGACACTTTCCCCCCCTTCCAGTCCGGACACTTTCACCCCCTTCCAGTCCGGACACTTTCACACCCCCTTCCAGTCGGACACTTTCACCCCCTTCCAGTCCGGACACTTTCACCCCCTTCCAGTCCGGACACTTTCACCCCCTTCCAGTCCGGACACTTTTACCCCCCCCCCTTCCTGTCCAGGGCAATTTTCAGCTTTCAGCGCTATCACACTTTGAATGACAATTGCGCGGTCATGCAACACTGTACCCAAATGAATTTTTTACCATTTTTTTGACACAGATAAAGCTTTATTTTGGTGGTATTTGTTCACCGCTGGGATTTTTATTTTTTTTGCTATGTAAATGAAAATGTCCAAAAATTTTGAAAAAAAGTTTTTTTTTTAAATTTTGCAAAATAAATAATATTTCATCATAAATCATTGCCAAAATTTATTCCGTTATCTTTTTAGTAAAAAAAAAAAATCCAAATTAGTTTATAACCAAAAATTATAATTTTTTAAACATTTTTTTTTTATTTTTTTTTATATTATTATTTTTTATTTATTTATTTTTTTTTTACATACTGTCACCCTAGCAGTACAGTGTCACCATGGTGACACTGTACTACTTGTAGGGGGTGATGATTTGTTTTTGTTTTTTTTACACTGATTGCTTTTACACCCATATAGGATGTAAAAGCAATCATTTCTCCTTCTCTCTGGCTGCATTCCTGCACTCATTGAGAAGTACTGAGTGAGCTGTGATTGGTCACAGCTTGTCACATGGTACAAGGCTGTTGTGCATAGCCTTGTACCATGTGACCTCTGTGATCATTCACAGATTTCACACGTAGTAAGCAATGATGTCACAAGTGACATCTTGCTTACTACTTTGCATGTGATCACTGATTGGCCAATCAGTGATCACATGATCGGGACCTCGTACAGAGGTCCCGTCCGATGATCGGTGTTTCACTGTGTCCGGAGGACACAGCGGGCACCAGATTGCGGTGCTGCTGCGCGCTCCCAGGGAGCGCGCACAAGCAGGGTGTTGGGGAGGCCGTTTATAGACGGCCACCCGACCCTGCACTGCCACCGTCCGGCCGTTTATATGCAACGGCCGGACGGGACGGTGGTGGTTAAGAAAGGTACAAAAATAAGAAACTATTTATCTGCAATAAAGATCTTTAAAACTTGGGTCTTATGATCTGTCTTTTTTTTTTCAAACATTGGGACACAATTGTGCAATATCCTTTAGATTTCTCAATAACAATGTACAGTAGTTTAAAGGCCGGGCTCATAATAAAGTGGATGGATTTCCACTTGCAAGAAAAGTATATTTGAAATATATATTTTAAAAATATTCTTCCCAAATTATATTGACATATATATAAAATACTACAATTTTTGGCCGTATTCAAGATATTTCAAAATATATTTCAATACAATATTGCTAGGGGTTCCTCAAACTGCGGCTGATTGACTACAAATTTGATGGTGCCCTCATAGTTCCAAGTTGATTCAGCTCCCATTTGATGGTTCCTGCATACTTTTGGGTTCTAACGCCACTTTGCAAAGGATGGTTTTCTGATCACCACTCTACGGAGCATTCTTCCCACTGACCATCAATGTGAGGAGCATTCTACCCACAGAACACCAACATAACGGGATTCTTCCCACTGACCACTAATGTAAGGAACATTCTACCCACTGACCCCCAATGTAAGGGACATTCTTCCCACTGACCCCCAATGTAAGGGGACATTCTTCCCTCTGACCCCAATGTAAGGGACATTCTTCCCACTGACCACCAATGTAAGGGACATTCTTCCCACTGACCACCAATGTAAGGGACATTCTTCCAATGATCACCAATGTAACGGACATTCTTCCCACTGATCACCAATGTAAGGGACATTCTTCCCACTGACCCCCAATGTAAGGGACATTCTTCCCACTGACCACCAATGTAAGGGACATTCTTCCACTGACCACCAATGTAAGGGACATTCTTCCCACTGATCACCAATGTAAGGGACATTCTTCCCACTGATCACCAATGTAAGGGATCATTCTTCCCACTGATCACCAATGTAAGGATCAATTTTCCCACTGATCACCAATGTAAGGGATCATTCTTCCCACTGATCACCAATGTAAGGATCATTCTTCTCACTGATCACCAATGTAAGGGACACTCTTCCCACTGACCACCAATGTAAGGGACATTCTTCCCACTGACCACCAATGTAAGGATCATTCTTCCCACTGATCACCAATGTAAGGATCATTCTTCCCACTGATCACCAATGTAAGGGATCATTCTTCCCACTGATCACCAATGTAAGGAGCATTCTTCCCACTGATCACCAATGTAAGGATCATTCTTCCCACTGATCACCAATGTAAGGATCATTCTTCCCACTGACCCCCAATGTAAGGAGCATTCTTCCCACTGACCCCCAATGTAAGGGATATTCTTCTCACTGATCACCAATGTAAGGGACATTCTTCCCACTGACCCCCAATGTAAGGGATATTCTTCTCACTGACCACCAATGTAAGGGACATTCTTCCCACTGACCACCAATGTAAGGGACATTCTTCCCACTGACCACCAATGTAAGGGACATTCTTCCCACTGACCACCAATGTAAGGAACATTCTTCCCACTGACCACCAATGTAAGGGACATTCTTCCCACTGACCCCAATGTAAGGGACATTCTTCCCACTGACCACCAATGTAAGGGACATTCTTCCACTGACCACCAATGTAAGGGACATTCTTCCCACTGACCACCAATGTAAGGGACATTCTTCCCACTGACCACCAATGTAAGGATCATTTTACCCACAGAACACCAATGTCGGGACATTCTTCCCACTGACCACCAATGTAAGGGACATTCTTCCCACTGACCATCCATTCTACCCACTGAACACCAACATAACGGGACATTCTTCCCACTGACCACTAATGTAAGGGACATTCTTCCCACTGACCCCAATGTAAGGGACATTCTTCCCCCCACTGACCACCAATGTAAGGGACATTCTTCCCACTGATCACCAATGTAAGGGACATTCTTCCCACTGACCCCACCAATGTAAGGGACATTCTTCCCACTGACCCCCAATGTAAGGGACATTCTTCCCTCTGACCCCCAATGTAAGGGACATTCTTCCCACTGACCCCCAATGTAAGGGACATTCTTCCACACTGACCCCAATGTAAGGGACATTCTTCCCTCTGACCCCCAATGTAAGGGACATTCTTCCCACTGACCCCAATGTAAGGGACATTCTTCCCACTGACCCCCAATGTAAGGGACATCTTCCCACTGACCCCCAATGTAAGGGACATTCTTCCCACTGACCACCAATGTAAGGGACATTCCTTCTTCCCACTGACCACCAATGTAAGGGACATTCTTCCCATGATCACCAATGTAAGGGACATTCTTCCACTGACCACCAATGTAAGGATCATTCTTCCCACTGATCACCAATGTAAGGACATTCTTCCCACTGACCACCAATGTAAGGGACATTCTTCCCACTGATCACCAATGTAAGGACATTCTTCTCACTGATCACCAATGTAAGGGACATTCTTCCCACTGACCACCAATGTAAGGATCATTCTTCCCACTGACCACCAATGTAAGGGGATCATTCTTCTCACTGATCACCAATGTAAGGGACATTCTTCCCACTGACCACCAATGTAAGGGACATTCTTCTCACTGACCACCAATGTAAGGGACATTCTTCCCACTGACCACCAATGTAAGGGACATTCTTCCCACTGACCACCAATGTAAGGGACATTCTTCCCACTGACCACCAATGTAAGGAACTTCTTCCCACTGACCACCAATGTAAGGGACATTCTTCCCACTGACCCCCAATGTAAGGGACATTCTTCCACTGAACCACCAATGTAAGGGACATTCTTCCACTGACCACCTAATGTAAGGGACATTCTTCCCACTGACCACCAATGTAAGGGACATTCTTCCCACTGACCCCCAATGTAAGGGACATTCTTCCCACTGATCACCAATGTAAGGGACATTCTTCCCACTGATCCCCAATGTAAGGGACATTCTTCCCACTGATCACCCAATGTAAGGAACATTCTTCCCACTGATCACCCAATGTAAGGAACATTCTTCCCACTGATCACCAATGTAAGGGACATTCTTCCCACTGACCCCCAATGTAAGGGGACATTCTTCCCACTGACCCCCAATGTAAGGGACATTCTTCCCACTGACCCCCAATGTAAGGGACATTCTTCCCACTAACCACCAATGTAAGGAACATTCTTCCCACGGACCCCCAATGTTAAGGGGCATTCTTCCCACTGATCACCAATGTAAGGAACATTCTTCCCACTGACCACCAATGTAAGGGACATTCTTCCCACTGACCCCCAATGTAAGGGACATTCTTCCCACTGACCACCAATGTAAGGAACATTCTTCCCACTGACCACCAATGTAAGGAACATTCTTCCCACTGATCACCAATGTAAGGGACATTCTTCCCACTGAACAAAAATGTAAGGAACATCCTTCCCACCAACCCCAATGTAAGGAGCATTCTTCCCACTGACCCCCAATGTAAGGCACATCCTTCCACTGATCACCAATGTAAAAGAGTATTTTCACAACCCACACCCCCCCCCCCCCCATCCCATTTAATATATATTTAGCAGAAATCCTGAGACTTGAAAATCAGGGCAGTTCCTTGTCATATTAAATATTCCCTATATTAAACAGATCTTCTAACCAACAGTATTGCACGTGAGGCACAAGGGAGGTGCTTTAGCTCTAGCATGCAATTAATTCCACTGAATGCTGTTTACAGAGGTATATATAAACCCTACCCAAATGACATTTAAGTTGCTTAAGAAATTACTATAATAAACAATTTCACATTTTATAATCTTAGTGCTGCTGATCTGCCCTAGCCTCTTTCATTCACTTCCAGTCTGCATGCTCTTGCCCAAGCTTTGGTTGCACATCATTGCTCTGGACCCCACTTCCTGCTAGTGAAAATGATGGACCATGCCTGTGCAATGTGCATCTCCATGACCACTTGTAGTCTCTGTGACGGAGTGACTTTTGGGGGTGGGGGGACCCCTGTATCATTCTCTACAAATCCCTCTTATGTGTAAAGGCACCCTGTGCCTGTAAGGGGCGCAGGGTGTTCTGTCCAGATATTGTGTAGACACGAATAGGTTGGGTATGGGGGTTGTCCATTGTTCACTGCCATGTGGTTGCCCCATTGTTCTATTGTGTCTTGCTTGCCAGCAAACTATTATGGGATGCATGTGTTCCCCTATTGTCTACTGCCATGTGGTGTATCCCATTGTTCTATTGTGTGTCTTGGTTTTGGTGGGGAGTGTTTCCAGCAGCCCTTCCCTCCTGATGGGATGGCCTGCTGATGTGCTTCCTGTTCCTGGTTGTATTTCCCCGCCCTGTGTATATATCTTGTGTTTGTGTAAAAATAAAGCAGTTGACCTCCTGTCTTAAGAGAGTCTGGTGCTGTCTATTTCCTGCATGATCAGCGGTGGGGTCCGTGGATTTGTGTTCGGACAGGGAAACGGGGAGTCTAATGGAAATACCCTAGTGCAGTCGGTGGGGGGTCCGGTTCCGTTACAGTCTCCACCAGGGGAAGCATGTGAGAGGGTGACAACCAAGGAGCATAATTGGGAGGCCAGAACAAAATATTGTCACCCTACAACAGAAAGTGCCTGAACAAAGACCCCCATGACAGGATCATTACTGATTATTTTAATAAACGCTGAAGATTTTCTAATATTAAATACAACTTTTTAAATATATTAACACATTAAAGCTTATATTAAATTTTATTAATCGGGTTAAGATCTGCTGGACCTTAAAGAGACATGGCCACCTTGCCTATTCAGGACAAGGTGACCATGTCTTTGCAAAGGTCCCCTGCTCCCGGATCCCATGATATTCACCGTGCCACCATCAAAATAGGAAAGAGCAGGGGAGCAACTGGTTAACCACTTGCCGCCCAGCCACCGCATATAAACGGTGGCAGGGCGGCGCTCGTAGGCAAAAGTACGTTTTAAAACGTGTGCCTACAAAACAGGTTAGGGGGGGGCGCGCGCGAGGCGCGCGGCCCGCCCTACCTGTCCCGCGGGTGTCAGCAGCGGGTCTCCGCCGCCGGGTCACAGCCGGTTTTTACCGGCCGTTTTCCCGTGATGAGCGGTGAACACTGACACAGAGCAGGGCTGCATTGTTTACACACAGCCCTGCTCTGTGACAGTTCGCTGCCAAGCTGCAGAGGGAGAGAACAGTTTCTCTCCCTCGATCAGCTCCCCCCTCCCTCCCCCCCGTCCAGTATACACCCCCACCCCCTAGTAAAACACTCCCTCATACAGTGAACACTAAAAATGTTAACCCCTTCCTCCCCAATGACATTAGTACAGTTTTCAGTGTTTTTTTTTTGCACTGATCACTGTATTGGTGTCACTGGGGATGTCCGTGACCCCAAGTCAGCTTCCCCCCAGTGTCAAAATGTCCGCCGCAGTCCCGCCGCCATAAGTCGCTGGTCGCCGTCATATGTCGCTGATCGGCGCCAATATTAGTATAAATAAAAATTAAAAATCCCAGTATCTTTCCCGCAATTGTCCGTTAAACTAGCCCAGCGCTGTATAGCAGAAAAATGGCGTAAATTGCAGTATCTATACCATATTTTGTAGATGCTATAACTTCCCACACAAAGCAATCAATATACACTTATTGGGATTTTTTTTACCAAAAACATGGAGCAGAATACATTTTGGCCTAAATTTAGAACCAACTTTGAGTTTACTATATATTTTTTATAGCTGAAAGTAAAAAATATTGTTTTTCTTCAAAATTTTTGTCCTTTTTTTGTTTATAGCGTGAAAAATAAAAAGCGCACAGGTGATCAAATACCACCGAAAGAAAGCTCTATTTGTGTGAAAAAAAGGACATAAATTTCGTTTGGGTGCAGCATTGCATGATCGCGCAATTATCAGTTGAATTAGTGCAGCGCCGAGTAGCAAAAAGAGGCGTGGTCATTAAGGGGGGTAAATCCTCTGGTGCTCAAGTGGTTAAGTGGCTATCAGGGGTCTAAATGGGTGGATTCACAGTATTAATATTCACAACCTTTTTCTTATCTTTAACTCAAATTATTAAATCAAACCATAAAACTAAATATAAATAAAGTCCCAAAAATAAATTTCCAAGTCCAACAAAATCTCTCAATCCTGTGTATCCCACTTCAATATTTCCATCACTCCTGACCTAGTGAATACCTCAAAAAAATAAAACTAAAATAGTGTATTACCTTCAAATAATAGGTACTGTATTTTTCGCTCCATAAGACGCACTTTTTTCCCCCAAAAAAGGGGAAAAAGCGGTATTTCCACCGCCGCCGTGTCAGAATACCGGGCCGGCCGCTCAGCTCTGCAGCGGGACCTCACCTGTTCCTCTATCCAGCGGCGCGCTGTCTTCCCGGCTTCTGTAGTATGGGTGCTCGGCTTGACAGCCGGGTGCCAAGTGCGCATGCGCAAGAAGCGGTGCTGTTTGTGAATGGTAAGGTGGCACCTGGGACACATGACAGATCCCAGAAGCCGCCGGACCAATCACAAAGCGCAGCGCTTCTCGTTCATGCGCACTTGGCACCCGGCTGTCAAGCCGAGCACCCATACTACAGAAGCCGGGAAGACAGCGCGCCGCTGGATAGAGGAACAGGTGAGGTCCCGCTGCAGAGCTGACACTAACCAAAGAACAACTCCGTGGAAGTAAGAGCGGGTACCTGTCAGATTCAGGTACCCGCCCCCCCCCCTCCTCAAAGGTCAGCAGTCATCTCCTGTACTGTGTCCACAGTCTCTGCTCATCTCCTGTACTATGTCCGCAGTCTCTGCTCATCTCCTGTACTATGTCCGCAGTCTCTGCTCATCTCCTGTACTATGTCCGCAGTCTCTGCTCATCTCCTGTACTATGTCCGCAGTCTCTGGTCATCTCCTGTACTGTGTCCGCAGTCTCTGGTCATCTCCTGTACTGTGTCCGCAGTCTCTGGTCATCCCCTGTACTGTGTCCGCAGTCTCTGGTCATCCCCTGTACTATGTCCGCAGTCTCCGGTCATCCCCTGTACTATGTCCGCAGTCTCCGGTCATCCCCTGTACTATGTCCGCAGTCTCCGGTCATCCCCTGTACTGTGTCCGCAGTCTCCGGTCATCCCCTGTACTATGTCTACAGTCTCTGGTCATCTCCTGTACTGTGTCCGCAGTCTCTGGTCATCCCCTGTACTGTGTCCGCAGTCTCTGGTCATCTCCTGTACTATGTCCGCAGTCTCTGGTCATCCCCTGTACTATGTCCGCAGTCTCTGGTCATCCCCTGTACTGTCTGCAGTCTCTGGTCATCTCCTGTACTGTCCGCAGTCTCTGGTCATCTCCTGTACTGTGTCCGCAGTCTCTGGTCATCTCCTGTACTGTGTCCGCAGTCTCTGGTCATCTCCTGTACTGTGTCCGCAGTCTCTGGTCATCTCCTGTACTGTGTCTGCAGTCTCTGGTCATCTCCTGTACTGTCTGCAGTCTCTGGTCATCTCCTGTACTGTGTCCGCAGTCTCTGGTCATCCCCTGTACTGTGTCCGCAGTCTCTGGTCATCTCCTGTACTATGTCCGCAGTCTCTGGTCATCCCCTGTACTATGTCCGCAGTCTCTGGTCATCCCCTGTACTGTCTGCAGTCTCTGGTCATCTCCTGTACTGTCCGCAGTCTCTGGTCATCTCCTGTACTGTGTCCGCAGTCTCTGGTCATCTCCTGTACTGTGTCCGCAGTCTCTGGTCATCTCCTGTACTGTGTCCGCAGTCTCTGGTCATCTCCTGTACTGTGTCCGCAGTCTCTGGTCATCTCCTGTACTGTGTCTGCAGTCTCTGGTCATCTCCTGTACTGTCTGCAGTCTCTGGTCATCTCCTGTACTGTCCGCAGTCTCTGGTCATCTCCTGTACTGTGTCCGCAGTCTCTGGTCATCTCCTGTACTGTCCGCAGTCTCTGGTCATCTCCTGTACTGTCCGCAGTCTCTGGTCATCTCCTGTACTATGTCCGCAGTCTCTGGTCTTCTCCTGTATAATGTCTGCAGTCCATTAGTTCAGAATATTTTTTTTCCCGTTTTCTGCCTCTAAAACCTAGGTGCGTCTTATGGAGCGAAAAATACGGTATATACCTTCAAAATAAATAAGTATGTACTTTAATCCGTGCAAAAACAAAATAAAGAGATTCACAGTATCTCTTTAAAATTTATCAAGTGTAAAATAATGAAAAAGATATTATTTCCAAAATTAATATCCATTTAAAATAGTCACTGAGGCCTGAGCATCATAAACACCAAAAGCAGCATAAACAGGTTCAGTGAATGTCGTGGTGAATGTGTGCACATGCTTGGCCTGCTTGTCCAGGTCATAGAAGGACAGCCGCCCGGCCTCGTAATCCAAGTATATCCCTAATTTTGGGT